CAGGTATAAAGGTTTCTACTTGGCTTTATATGTTGTTAAATTCTGGAACCAGTAAGGCAGATCCTGTTTCATGATAGGCATTCTCTCTAATTGTTTTATTTACTTTTGGTGGTGTTACAGGTATTGTTCCCTCTGCTTGTGTGCTTGATAAAGTTATACATGATACTTGATTTGTGTCATGCCAGTAGGTTCTTATTTGAGTATTATTAAAATGCTTATTTGGTGGTGGCCTCCTATTACTAGTTTAAGTGTGAAAAAGTGCTTATTGGAGTGTAAATGTATAATTTCTAAAATTAGATTTAATTTGTTTTTTTTTCGATGCATTATTTTGGTTTGTGTGGTTTGCCTCGCCGGGTATGTGTTTATGAATGTTCATATAAATAAAGAAATGCAATATTTACAATAAGTTCTTTTATTTCTGCATTTAGTGGCTGTTTTTTTTTGTTTTTATTCTTTAAGAATCAATTGCTAAAAGTAAAAAGGTAGCAGGTTTTTATGGTGAATCAAGATTTATTACTAAATTGTTTTTAAGACCTGTCGATTATCAAAATGAGTACTTTGCTCATTGTTTGAAAGCGGATTATGCTTATAGCGTTTATAATATGTTTTGCGATGCTGCGGAATATAAGGTTTAAATTGGTTTGGTCTTTTAGTTTAATATAAAATAATTATTTTGCAATGAAGACCTATGACGAATTTTTACTTTTTTTGACCTGGTTTTGTTTAGGATTTTGTGCCTTTTGCATCATAATTATTTGATTTTGTTAAATTTGTTTTTTTGCCGAAAAGTTTAGATTCGTAACAAGGTTATTTAAACCTTTTTTGAGTTGCCATTTCTAGGTTGCTTTGTATTATTAAGTTCTAGAATTACTCTAATTGCTGATCGACATTTGTTGTCCTGGGATGGTTCTCGTTATTTGAAAATTTTATACCATTTTTCTTGCTTTTGGTTTCACTAATTTGCCGTTGCTCGAATTTGCTGAAGTTTCTATACTATTATTGGGTTTTAGTTTTTACGGTAGTAGTTTTTGTATATTTGGTTTACACATTTTCCTGTTTAATTGGGTGTTGTAGCGTTGTTCTTTATTTTTGTAGTTGGTTCCATTGAAGCTGATATTTATCGTTGTCCTGTAGCACCTTGATATTAGCATTTTGTTGACTTTGCGTGGTTGTTTGTATGTACGATTGTTTATGCGTGTTAATTTATTTAATTGATAGGTTATATTAATTAAACTGACAAATTGTGGTTTTGTTGAATACTTATGTTGTATCAGTAAATTTATGGTTAATATTATTCGTCGTAAATTAATTGATTTGCCTACTAATAATTCTCTTAATTGTTATTGATGTAGTGGGCTTATTTCTTCTTTTTTGGTTTTTCAAATTTTAACTGGTGTTATATTATCATTTTGTATGCTGCTGATTCTGGTTTAAGCTCTTATTGCTTTATGGATGATACTAATGATTCTTTTTACCAGTTGATGTGTTCGTTATTGACATACATGGGAGGTTACTGTGTTGTTTGTACTTCTTTTTATTTATATGGGTCGCGCTTTGTGTTATATCAGTTAAAGAAATATTGGTGTGTCAAATGTCTGTTTAACGTTGTATTTATTGACTATGGCTGAGGCTTTGATGGGTTATATTTTACCTTGACATCAGATGTCTTTTTGGGCTGCTACTGTACTTACTTCTATAGTTTAGAGTTTACATTTAATTGGGCCTGTTTTATATAGTTATATTGTTGGTGGTTCTTCTGTCACACTGTGACGCTTGCTCGTGTTTTTCAGCACACGTTTGGGTTGATTTGCTATACTAGATTTGATGATTATTCATCTTCTTTTATTTACATCGTAGAGGCTCTGAAAAGCCTTTGTGTATTAGTCAAGGTTGTGGAGATATTGTTTATTTTCTTTTTTACTTTACTGTTAAGGATTTTATGTGTTTAATGTTTGTTTGTATGTCTTCTGTTTTTCGTTTGTTTTATTTTCCTGAGGATGTTTTGGGTGTTGAACGTTTTTTAAAAGCTGGTTATTTAAAAACACCAATAACTATTAAGTCTGAGTGATATTTGTTTAGTTTTTAAATGCTATTTTACGTTGTATAGACTCTAAGCTAGGTGATTTGGATTTAATATTGGTTTTATTGGTTTTATTGTGAGTTCCTGCATATAAATTTTCTAGTCCTTATTTTATTCGTCACCAGTTTGTATTTTGGTTTATTGTTAGGTTATTTATTAGATTAACTTATTTAGGTGGTTATCAATCGGAGTTTCCTTTTTTTATTTGAAGGGTTTCTATTGTTGTGTTGGTTCTGTACTTTTATTGATAAGATATGATTTTTCTTCATTTACGGTTAGTTTGAGTTGTATTATTTAATTTTTTTTTCTACCTTTTTGTCATTTTTGCACTGTTTGGTTATATTAGAAAAATGTGATATATCGTTATTATTGTTTTGCTTTTTTTTCTAAAATGGGTAGTCATATTACTTTTATTTTTTTCAACGAATGATTCAACTATTGAAATAATCGTTGGTTTAGTTGTTTTGACTCAAGTATGGGAGTGCACAAATTCATTGGAGTAGATTTCATTCTGGTATATTTTTAATAGTTTTGTTTTTATTATTATTTAGAAGTAAAGGTTTTATTTCTGATAGTTTGTAACTTATTAGAAGTAAAGCTGTAGTTTTTGATCCCATTTCGTCTTTTTTGTTATTGCTTGTTTTATTTTTGGGTTTGTATACGCAGTTTACTTTTGTACCTTATTAATGTTGGTTTTTGGTTGTCTGTTTGTTTAATTTTCAATTTTTTAGGCATTTTGTGTTAGTCATTCGGTTTTTTTTGATGTTTATATGAATTATCCATGCTTCCCCCTTTTTATTTGATATTTAAGGAGTCGCCATTTTCTGATCGTTCCTCAGCTGCTTGGCGTTTAGTTCGATATTTACTAATTACTAGTTTACTTGAAATACTTATTATATTTGTCTTATTTTAAAAGTGGCTTTGTTATTAGATCTTGGTTTTTTAAAGTAAATATAAAAGTGCTGTTTATGCAATTTTGTTTTGTGTTTTTTACAAAGCTCCCTTTATGGTGTGTGACAATCAAGCGGTATATTGTTATGGCTACATTCATGTTTGTGACTAGAGACGATCTGCTCTGTCGACTTCTGTATTGCATGCTTTTCATATAGCCGATTGAGAAATGAAAGAGCAGCCGATTTACTGCGATATTAATTCAGGCAGCCGTCAATCAGCTGGTAATAATTGCTATGATGTGCACAAAGTGGTGGCAGACTTTAGTGTCCTGTCGTCGGAAGCGCAGGTTATTGCCTGCAGGTTTAACGAGGCGTTTAGGCTCATCTGAGAAACCTTTGGTGCCTAGTTTATTAAAAGCAACCTGTCAACATTCAAGGGCGTTCTAGCAAAGCTGGATGAGCACTTCGGAGACTGAAGGAACCCGGACAAGGTACGTTCGCCAAAAGCGTCATTATTAAACAGCGGGACATTGAGTAGGGAGTGGGTGAAGTTAAGCGAAGGCAAGTGTTTCACGGGCACGAAGCACACTTTGACACCTCACACGTCGCCTTATGTTTCTTGACGAGACCTCGACAATCCATTCAAGGCATTGAATGATTGTTTCATGGATGTCTATTCGACTGAAATCGGAAAAGCTGCAGGCTGCCACGTGTAAACAACATGTTTCTGTTGTAGTTTGTCGCTGATGCGTTTTTGCTTTAACTCGAAACATGAATCTTAATACAGAAAAGATGATTCAACTTATCCTCATGCTCTCTATCACCGATTGGCAAACCTTTGTGTTCATAACCATCGAAATTTGGGGCGGTGTGGCCGACTAAGCTTAAACCACATTTTTTGAAATCACTTGCCTGATCAAAGCGTATGTGATGACAGTCAAAAGAGGTCTCCCCCCTCGTGGGGATTGTGCATGGCGACTAGGAATCAGACAACCAGGAAGTTGCTATGGCTATATTCATTAGAAGTTCTATTATGTCTACTTTCATAGTGCAGGACTCTTAACTGGCCGATTGAGAAATGCTTGAGCAACACATCGTCGTTGATGCTAACGATAGCGCCTATCAATCGACGGACTTTTGCGTCCTGTCGCCGAAAGCGCAGGCCTGCAAGTGTAGCGATGAGTGCATGCTCATCTTTGAAAACTTTGGTGCAGTGTTTATTGAAAGCTACCTGCCGAGATTCAAGAACGTTTTAGAGAAGCTGGATGATAACCTATGAAGAAACTACATTACCTCACACTCATGGGAGGTAATATAAAAACGCGGATAATGAAAGTGCAGTTCGTTCAGAGCCAAATTATAACTCCTTGGGGACATTATATTTCTGTTTGTAAAAGGAATGTACTGTCAGGTTGATTACTTCCGGTTGGTTATGACACCCCTATTCACCATTACTCCAACATCCAATTAGTGCGTGTTCCCCAGAACCTGGTTGCAAATCGACTTCTGTAATACTAGGAGCTGACAGAGGTGGTAAAAAATGGGGGCACCAGCGACAAAAATGTGTCTTGATTATTGTTGGTCTTTTAAGATAATGTGATTGACAGACACCTGCCCAGAGAGGCATGATCTGATGCTCAGAGGGCGAACAGAGTTAGAGATTGTGTTTGTCGCCAGTTTAACCCAGTTATCCTTGTGAAAATGATATTGGCAAAAGCACTGTAGTCTAAAATAAATGTTCTATGTTGGATTGCTTCTATGTTAATGACTTAGTCTCACTTATTTTAAACATCGAGTGACTCCAAATGTGGGACTCAATGTGGTTTTGTGGACTGCCAACTGCCAGCACTGCGTTTCCATGGCACCCCATGTTCCAACTCTTCAGCTAAATGTCTCTTAATCTGGCACACCCAGTTCACTTTAATCAATGTTGTCTGTTTGAACGAATGCCCTCGCGTGCCATTCACAACGCAAAACAATTGTAATGAGTGTGTGTGCATGAGGGCCCGAGTGGACCAATGACTCATCCATTTTGTTATTGGCCTTTGTCAGTGTTCGTCTGTTGCGCCCGCGTTCTCATACGCCTTCTAATAAACGGTCGTGTTCTCTGTCTCCACTTTTCCCCCTTTCCTCGGGTAGTTTCGGGCTGTTAACTAGAGGGTTGTAAGGTAGTGCTAAGTTTCCAGCCACTACAAGTAGGCCCTTAGTGTTGTCCGGATCAAGGTCGGCAGTGTCCTAGCCACCTCACTGATAAGAAATCATGGAATTTGTGTTTTGTGTCCTATTTAATGCTTCTCAAGTCACCGCTGCCGCAGCAAGTAAACCCATGCTTTTAAACCGCCAGCAGCTGGAGACGTGAGAGGTGCATGACCGTTTTTAGCAGGTTTATATGACGTGAAAAAGTCTATTTGTAATTGATCTTGTGTAATCAATGGCGCAATTGATGTGCAGAATATACACATCTTGTTTGTTGATTCTACTCATCGTAGATAACGTTCTGTGTGGCCACATTAATGAAAGCTAGACAGTAGGGGTCATTGGTAAATTCCGAACACCGCCACTATCGTTGATCGGAGACACAAGATGAGACCTCAAACGCATCCACAGTTAACCGAGGGGTGGTACGCTGCGACATTGTTTTGCCTGTTTTGTTACATGGCCAATGTTACACCCTGAATGAGAATTTTGGCATCTGATAAGCAACTTAGAGAGTAATTGTTAAATTGGTGCTATGATAAATACAACCGCTTTATGTAGCTAAATTAAGATAGCTTTGTTGGTTCCGCAGGCGTATTCAGTCGTAAAGTGTTGTTACGGTTTAGGACAATCAAGCAATATGTTGCTATGGTTGCATTCGTGTTCTTGAATAGAGACAATCTGCTCTGTTGACTTTTATTTTGCAGGCCTTTCATCTAGCTGATTGAGAAATGAAAGAGCAGCCGATTAACTGTGATAATAGTAAAATCAGCCGTCAATCAGCGGCTAGTAGCTGTTATGGTGTGCACGGAGTGGTGGCGGACTTAATTGTCCTGTCGCCGAAGGCGCAGGTCACTGTCTGCATGTTCACTGAGGATGCTGAGGGCCCCGACATGTCGTCTTGAACCACGCCGGGGCCACTGCGATTATCTAGGCCGAATACGTTACCCTGCGTTCCCGCGAATATATAGAAGACCAGAGTGGGGAGGGCACAACCGTTTGCTAGACCGCTCAACCATGTTGTGTCTGTGTACTTTATACAGTTGGGTGGACATGTAAAAATGAACACAGGCGTTTGTGAGGTCACATGGCCAAAGCGGGAGGTGGTGGTACATTCAGAGGGGTAATGAACCAGCGGTCCCACGTGAAAGGGGGGACGTGTGCTGGAAGCTGCGAGGACAGGGTTATTGGACGTGAATCAACACGATTCACTACAAGGAGTTAGAGCTCACCTTAGGAAAGCCCAGGTGCAGAGTGATTATTGGAAGCAACTGTCAACATTCAAGGGCGTTCCAGCAAAGCTTCATGAACTCTTTGGAGACTAGTCAAACCTTGACAAATGGCAAGAGCAAATAACGTCATTTATGCAACGTTAACAAACTAACTTAACTGAGAGGGGAGGTGATTGGACCCACTGCAATAATCGAGATGCATTATCGTTTGGGTGAATCGAAAATTGAGATGCCTGGTGGATAATCCTGAAAATGGAATGTTAAGGTCTCAACTTCTGGAGTGAGAAGAAATGAAAGTGCAGGCAGCAACAGGATGCACATAATTCATTTGAAAAACTATGCATGATTTAAATCATCTACCACTCCCCTGGAAAACACCATAACGCCGTTGGTTTTACTTTCCTTTTGAGGTTTTGAAGGGGAAAGCTTGGAAGCGTCATCGTCTATGCTGCTTTGTCCTGCAAGTGTTCACCGACCCTCTAACTCAGAACGGATTTCAAAGTGGGAATCAGGCTTTCTGTTTAATCTGCTTAACAATGAAACAATCCCTAGGTTTTCCGTGAATTAACATATGGAAAGAAAAAGCATTCCTGCTATTGCTACCTTCAACGCAATCCTTATAGTGTTTTGGACTTTCTGCAACTTCACATGGACACTTTACTTAGCATGTGCTATGGTCATTTTCTGCTAGGGCTCTTACGGCTGTATTGACATGGATTCCAAAGACAATACCATGCCTATTTTAAACACTTGTTGCTACAGGACCTACCATAACGTTCCGCACAATTTCGTGAGTTTGATCAAGCGCCGATCACGTCCATCTGATGAAGAAATTTACACTGGATTTTTTTATTCCACTACATTACGAATTACTAGTAAACAAGCAAATGCCTCTAATGTCCAAGAATGCAGAGACCGGATAAATGGCAGTGAACCACTGCGATCTACTTTCGGCTCATATACTCTGGACGGATTATTCAACATGAGACGTAGAGGTACCACCACCAAAGGTCTAACGGTACCTCAAATGTTAAAAGAGCTGAGAAAGCAAGTTCGCCAATGGCGCTAAGGGGCCGATAGTTCAACGTCTTTTATAATTTGATGATTCTCTGATTAAATGTACCATTGCCACATAATTCAACACCAGTCTTTCAGTTGAAACACAATGCATTTTTAACAGTTAACATGGACTAAACGGTTAAGTTGCAGTAAATCTGTTCCATACCGGTAGTTACACTCTCGATGTGGACATTATCACACGAGGAAGAGGAATGCAAGGGCAAAGGGTCAAGGGCTGGAGGTGTGGTGGGAAAAACTAGAAGTAGCTGACGGTTTTCATCTGTTATGCAGACACCGAAAAAGATGAAAGACGAGACAGCGATGGTGGCGTGACCGAAAGGGTCAAATTGCAGGTCAATTCTCCATGTTGTCACGCATGTGGAACAGAATACAGGTTGAAGAATTTGAGGGACTAGGGGGGTACAAAAGGGACTAGTCCAAGACGACGATGACCACAGGAAACAGTAACAGTAACAATAGAAAATCATGAGGCTAGACAAGAACAGAGCACAGGCCAGTCTTGCGTTCTCTGACCCTTAATCACTAAAAGAGCACTTCAAATCGCGTACCCTTAGTCAGTGCGAACGCTTCAAATAGACCAATCTGGGACACATATTAACATGCTGTTCACAATCAAAATGCACAGTACAGGTGTGCGAAATCAAGATCTCCTAAAAGCTATCTTCTCTTCATTTAGAGCAGTTCAAAAACTTCATCAAGGCATTGGTGTTACGTTAGCCCTTAACTCGACCCACTGAACAATAGGTAAAAATCAGACGATGGCGTCGCTTAATTTATACGTGGTAAAAATGAGTTGCGTTTGCTTAAAAGCATGACAAATATTTGAAATACGTGTGCAGAAATTCGTGTATGGTGAACGCCCCGTCACCAAACTGATTAGGGCATCAAACCATTTCAAGACCATCAAGGAAATCAAAACCTATTTCTCTCCGGAAAATCAATACCCGATAACAGAAGTTTGTCACAGTGACAACTGGATTTATAAATTCTTGTTGCTCTTTCATTTAGTTGCTAATTTATTCAAGATGTAGGTCATCACTCTGAGGCGTCTAATCCATTTAAATGTAAAGTCACGTTAGAGTTTCGCCGGTTTGAAAAATGCCTTCCTGCAACTACTCTCCAACGAAACACATTTAAGCAGGTTGCAAGCCCCTGTAAGATACTCCAAGAGGTGTGGTTATTGTACATCGTTTTCAGGCACACTTGTGATATAGTTAAATTCAAAAATGCTTTTTGGCAAAGTCAATTGTGGTAGAAGAGTAGCTTGGGGTCAGACTTTTTTAAGCTGCAGTGGCCGCACGTCAGTGAAAACATTCCACATACCAATGCCAATTAAATGCCTTTAACAGACGATTATCAGCTCTCTCCGATGCGAAGATGGCACAAGTTAAACCATCTACTCGAATCCGACTCGATTATTTGCAACTTCGAGGCATAAATAGTTAACGGACGTGCCGCCACCTCATCGAAAACCAACTCCACCGACGTCTCACTTAATCCACAAAAGCTTTCACACCTGCAGAGTTTCAGATAATCTCCCAGCACTTTACACGCTTTCTGATAGCATTACGACCAGTCGATCTGATCGGTTATGAGAAGCCTCTTCTTCGATTTACCATTTAGGCACAGCTTTTCTGGTCACTTCGTGGGTCTGGTCACTTCACGAACACACGTAAAAAATACCCGAGCCATGGAAGAGGAAGAGTGGAACAACACAACCGGCTTTATTTACCAGTCCCAAGCCAGAACAACACGTCAGGCGCCGTCCATC